CGGTCTGACGGTGTCGGTGTGCGCAGGTAAATCGTGGAAGGCGCTGTCGCTGGCGGAGAAGCGTCCGTTCGTGGAGGAGGCGGAGCGGCTGCGGGTGCAGCACATGCAGGACCACCCCAACTACAAGTACCGGCCGCGGCGGCGGAAGCAGGTGAAGCGGCTGAAGCGGGTGGAGAGCGGCTTCCTGCAGCACGGCCTGGCGGAGGCGGCGGCGGGGCCCGGGCTGGCCAGCGAGGTGGCCGCCGCTGGCGGCGGAGGCGGCGGCAGGATGTGCGTGGAGGGTCTGGGACTGGCGTACGGCGAGCAGGGCTACGCGGCGGCGGGCGCGGGCCACTACCGGGACTGTCCGCCGCTGGGCGCGGCGTTCGACGGCTACAGCCTGCCGACTCCGGACCCGTCGCCGCTGGACGCGGCGGAGAGCGAGGCGCCCTTCTTCGCGGCGGGGCTGCAGGAGGAGTGCGCGCTGGTGCCCTACGGCTACGGCCCGCACCCGGCGGCGGCCGAGTACCCGGTGGCGGCGGCGTCCGAGAGCCCGTCGGGCGCGGGGCTGCGGCGGCACCTGGCGCCCGGGGAGGCGCTGGGCGCGGGCGGGTCGCTGCAGGGGCTGCTGGGCTGCCCGGCGCCGCTGCACGCGTACTACGGGCAGGCGTGCCAGCCGCCGGGCCCGGGGCGCGGCCCGCTGCCGCCGCCGCTGCCGCCGGGGGCCGTGGGGCAGCCGTCGCCGCCGCCCGAGACGGGACCGTGCCGGGAGCAGCTGGAGCAGCTGCCGCCGGAGGAGCTGCTGGGCGAGGTGGACCGCACGGAGTTCGAACAGTACCTGCGCTTCGCCTGCAAGCCCGAGCTGGGGCTGCCCTACGGCGGYCACGACGCCGCYGCCGCCGCCGCGCTGTCGTCGGCCGAGGGCGCGGGTCCCATCTCGTCGGCCGTGTCAGACGCCAGCAGCGCCGTCTACTACTGTGGCTACCCCGACTTGTGAGGGGCTCGCTGGGGCACGGCACGGACAGTGACACCGAGGCACCCGGCCCCGCTCCTATTTATGTAATTTATTTGAATCTTCTCGGGACAGTTGCACAAACTTTGGGCGAATGTATGCCACTATGCTGACCGTCCTGCAGTCTTCAAGAGTCATTCAAACTCTTTTGGCTGGTGTGACCGACATTTYCATCGTTGTTTTTCTTAAGTTCATGCTCGAAATTATTGTTCGTTTTGCAACATCAGCACTGTTGTTTCGTTGCCCACAACGTGGTCTTAGTTGTGTTTTTAACTATATCTGATTTTATTTTTTTTTGTATTTTCAGAAAATAAATGAATGTACAGCTGTTTCTGTCGTTCTTCTTGGCTACGTTGCCTTTGAGTGAGACTTATCTAAAGCTAAATCTGTCGTGCCCTAAGGGGATGTGTTGTGARTGCAGATATGATGTGATTCTTTCACCAAGGCAATGGTTTTAAATGGCTCTCCAGGACCAAGATATTTTTTTCCCAGGTGTGGACGTATTCCTGCCCCATAGCTGAAGGGCTARATATCTGCTGCTGGTCTGTGTCTTGGAGTATAGAACATGTAACTGTACTTGTGTGTGTTTTGTAGGTTTTTTTCCTTCTGATTTGAGTGCCAGGTGAATATACATTGTTGCAGAGACAGGGTTTTGCCCAATTCATCAAAGGAAACAAAATAATTTTGAGATACTCATTTTAAAGTGTACCTGGAAATCCATTGGTTTTAGAGAGTTTTTGATGTGAAGGTGATTTTGCTGTACATAGTAGTTTCTGTTTGAACCAAATGATTGACAGGGTTGAAGCTGTGTGTAGAAATGATAATAATATTTCCTGCAACCTACCTTCAAGTCTGTTCATGCCATTTAGTACCATGGCTTTTGGGCTCAGATTTACACCAGTGAGGAGAAAAAACAGTGCAGCCCAAGTGCTCATATCAGCTACTGTTAATCAACTGCTGATATCAACTGACCATTAAAACAGTTTTTTTTTTTTAGCATGTTCACCTGTACTGCTCTGTTGTGGCATTTCTGCCACTGGAGCAGTACAACTACATCATCACTCTTCTGATGTATGGAAGATGCWGGCTAGTGTCAACTTACAATAATTGTAGTGGAGATTTTCAGATATTTTAATTTGTAAGTGGCAATAACAAATATTTTTGGGTAAGTGTACTTTATCCTACCCTGGTTTATTAGCCTACTAAATTGTGGGTGGGGAAATTCTGCAGAAATTCCATTTGTGCAATTCAYGCTTGGTTTTATAAAAATTGTGTGACAGTGACCATTTCTTAAACATGTTATGGATATAGAGTTAGCTGTGTTTTCAAAAAAATTAGTCAAAATATGGGATCAGATAATGTTTTATTTATTAACTAAAAAAATATATTTCATTTCAATACTTTTGTCGGGATAGAAATATTTGATGTAATTATAGGCCAATAGAGGTCTAACAACAGTGAAAACTAGTTGAACAGATTGGGTTGTTCCAGTTATTTCCTAGATGCCCAGTGCTGCTGATCACCAGCATGGTAATCATACTCCTTCACTTATGCACTGTTAAGAGTGTAGGAAGAGCTCTTTCTCATACCATTGCAGAAATGTTCTGAAAAAACCTCTCAGCATAATAGGAAAGACAAACTAGCTACTTCAAATAGGTGTTTGGGTATCTAGAAATACTAGTTTTGTTTCTATTGCTTTTTTTTTCCTGTATATTGATTTACTACATATGTCCTAGGACTTTTTTTTATGTTACAGTACAGTAGTAAAGCCTCAGTACCCTGATGAATTCTGTTATGAAAGTAAAAAAAAAATAATCCTCCAGTAAAAGAAAGCAAGGGAAGTAAGCTTAAGAAATTCCAAAGTAGGGTTAAACAAACTCCAGGTTTAAGGTTTAGTGCAGCTCTAATTAACCACTAGTGAATAACGTTATGATATTGGTATTAGTTGTATTTTCTATGGAAAACCAATGCAGTTAATCTGTATCTTGCACAGAAGTCATACACRAAGTTTGAAACTAAAGTGCTCCCTAATTTATAGCACTTACAGCACTTTCCTTCCCAAATTCTGATTCCCAAGCCGAATTACCTTTGCCTGTTCTACCTACAACTTTGTCCATCATCTTCATGAAATGAAGCAGCAACTGAAGAATCCCTCACCAAATAACAGCACCTAATACAGCTTTGTGGGCCTGTATTTAACCTGCTGCAAGATGAAGGAAGAAACATTGTCAGTGGATTTTTGGGATAATATGTAGGACAACAAAATGATGCTGGGGCTATGGAATAATTGCTTCAGTTCCCATTCTGGGAATGACATCTATTACTTTGTATTTACTGTATGTTCCCTTTTGCTGTAGTCTCCTATTGCACTCTGCCTAATTTGTTCCTTTTGTCACTCASATAAGCTTTTTTCCTTTTCTGTTAACAGGCTGATCACTCCCACTTGTCTATTCTTTCTATTCTCAATGCCAAACTTTTCTCCTTTGTCTGCCTTTTATTCTGTCTATTCTGTCCCTTTCCTTGGTGGCTTGGCTTTTTAAAAACTATTTCTTTCATGTTCTTAGCTGTCCACTCTCTTTATCCTTACCTTTGCTTCTCAGTGTCTCCAGATCGTTTCAGTCCCTGAACAGAACTGTGCCCTGTTTTCTATCTCCTTGGAATCTTTCATCTCTTTTTTTTTCCTTCTCTCTCTTTTGGTTTCTGCTACTACCCTACGAGGTAGTTTCATCTTTATAAGTTGTTTCTCCTGCCTTCCTGCTTCACATTTCACGGTCTAGAGCTCCTCATGGTTTTTAGAGTTTMTAGCCTCTATTTTGGAGTTTCATCTGTAGATCTTGGGCAGCTTTTCATGGAGAACTATGGTTATCACACCTTTGATATTTAGGGAATGCTAAATATTAAAATTAATGCAAAAGGGTCCTAAGATTGATTTGATATGATTGAAAGAACATCCTTTCTCTACCCTTTATTTCAGGAATACCTGACCAGTTTTAGCTGAAATTCCTGTACTCTGCTGTAGTCAGTTGACTGGGGTGAAAAATTTGTGGTCCAAACTTGTTGCTAAAGCTGTAGAAAGCTGACTTCGTGTTCTTGAAATGCGAAGTCTGAGTTGATTTCTTTTGCAGGCATCTGTATCACATTCAAAATCATCTAAGTATAGTTCTCAAATGCAGCTGAGCACTAATTTAGGGATGGGAAAGTCATTTAACTAATGTGTTGGTTCAAGCATAAACCAAGTATTTTTCAGAAAGTCCTACACAGGACTTTCCTATAAATTTGTCCTATATTCAAAGGCCACACTGAGCACTTTCTCAGTTGTGCAAAACGTGGTTGGCAGCTTCCCTTGTGTGCAGTGGGTGCCAGGCTGGTTTGTGTCCTTGCCTGGCTCCTTGGGTGCATGGGGCTTGTCTGAGCAATGCCCAATGTGACTCCCAGGTGGAAGAGGGTGTGGGGCAGAGTGAAGTATTCCTCACTGATTCTCTGCTGTTTTCCTGGAGCTGCTGCATGAGRAGTTTATGGGCTGATAAATGGTGGATGTGTTAATCTCTGGTGGATCTCGGCTACCCCAATCCACTCAGGTTATCAGAGCAGTTTCTGGAACTCCTAAAGTGACTGCTTTCTTCCATCATGATAGATCAAGGGTCATCATATATCCAAGGCCACCAGTCTGGTAAGCTGGAAATCAGGATGTGGAGACTCTTAGGTGTTTTAATCACACATATAAAATATTTTTCTTCAGTTCCTTAAGCTGTTCTGCAGAGACCACATTGCTTTGATTRGTTTCCGTATTAATACAGTGAAAGGAATCATGTTCCCTTTGCAGATATTATTAAAACTATTGATTGCTTTATTGAAATTMTTAGGCTTTCTTAAATGAATATGGACTTCGAAATGGAATATATTAAATATTTTAGCAACTGCWACATTTATGCCTGTATATGCAGTGATACATTAATACACATTATTAATGTACTACATTAATACAAATTGATATATAGATTTTTAAATTTATAAAATGGAGAAGACTAGATAGTTAGCAGAGCAGAAACAATTTAATTATGGCAGCATAGTATTAAATAATGTTTTAKTTATACTTCTTGTCAGGTAAGTTACAAATAAGCATTTTGCCTTACCACAATAATTAAAAAATATGTTTAATTAAATGGGCACATAGTCATGTGGAGACAARGGWTTTTTCACGAGGTGTCTTAAYGTCCAGGTAGTATGCTGTATTTTCTGTAGTTTGAGATTAAATGTAGTTCTAAGGTGTTTCTCTTAGATTTAATTAAAGCATGAATATAACTTATGTATCTTTATAAACTGAGATTGCCACAGCTCTTAAAATATTAATGGTGTAAGTTTTGAACTTTTAAGTTAAAGAAATTGAAACACCCAAAGGTCATGGTAGACATCACCCAACACAGATAAAAGTGAAACACTACTCATGATGTTGTGAGTCCTTCAGTAAAAAGCATCTCAACAATGAGCATGAGGAAAAATACTGAATATTTCAAAGTAAATGTAGAAATAACATTTGAGATATCAGTAAATATCTGAGTCTTGATGCAGTTTCCAGAAATTTAATAATTAAATAAATTGCAAATTTGTTTCCACCTGTTTTCAGACTCTTTCAGAACATTTGTTTTAGGAATGTTTTTTGCCTGTAGTGGACCAGTAATAAGCAAAGTAAAAAGGTTTGAGATGCTGAGGCTCTTTTGTTATGGCTGTGTTCTCTCCTTGTTGAATAGTTTATTTTTACATCATAGCTGTATTGTGATACAAATTAATTCTAGGTATATAGCATTGAAAAATGCTGAAGTAARGTTTTAGAAACAAAGTTCTTCCTCCAAATAAATTTTTACCTYGTAATTGTTTAAAGAAGGATACCAGCATCTTCTGCATTTTAATAAGAAACTGTTCAGAGAAAATAAATTTCCATCCTTTTTCCTTATCAGAGGGAACTGATTTCGTGGAGTATTCCATAGAGATATTGGAAGAATATAGTTATTGTTCACATCGAGGGGAGCTGCTCCTTTTATCCACAGAGAATATGTTTAGGTACCAGCAAGTCTTGGGTTCTTTCCAAGGCATTGTGGAATTACTTTATGGTGTCTGATTTACTTTAAAGCTTCTTGTTATTGCCATTTAGAAACAAAATTTATCCTGCACACATCCTGTTTAAAACAAAAATTTGTCCCCTGTTGAACAAAGATAAAGAATATCAGAAT